ATGAGAACATGACATACCAAAACTTATGGGACACAGCAAAGGCAGTTATCAGAGGAAGTTTCATATCAATACATGCACACCTGAGAAAGGAAGAGAAACTCATGATTGACAGGCTGGCACAAAATTTATAACAACTAGAGAAGAGTCAGCAGGACAATTCTAATAATAGCAAAAGAAAAAATAATAAAAATCAGGGCTGAGATTCAGGAGAGGGAAAATAAAACAATGGAAAAAATTAATGCTGCTAAAAGTTGGTTCTCTTAAAGGGTAAACAGAATTGACAGACCGCTGGCAAACCTAACCAAAGAAAGGAGGTAGCAAATTTCAATAGCAAGAATGAGAGATGAAAGAGGGGACATTACAACAGACCCTACTGAAATCAAAAGGATAATTACACAGTACTACGAAGGATTGTACACCAATAAATTCAACAACTTGGAAGACATGGACAAATTCTTGGAAAAACAATCCCTCCCTAGACTGTCCCCAAAGGATGTCAAGAATCTCAACAGACCCATAGCAATAAAAGAAATAGACAAGGTTATCAAGGGATTACCAACAAAAAAAGAACCCTGGACCAGGTGGTTTCACTGGAGAATTCTAGCAAGCATTTAGGGAAGAACTAACACGAATCCTACACAAACTCTTCAAGAACATAGAAAAAGATGGCAAACTCCCGAACTCATTCTATGAAGCTAGTATAATTCTGATACCAAAACCGGACAAGGATCCCACAAGAATCGAGAACTACAGACCAATATCCCTAATGAACATCGATGCAAAAATCCTTAACAAAATATTGGCCAATAGAATACAAAAGTATATAAAACAAATTAATTCACCATGACCAAGTGGAATTCATACCAAGGATGCAGGGATGGTTCAACATATGAAAGACCATTAGTATTATTCCAACATTGGGAGAGAGACATATCTGATCCGAGCACACGGGAGCAGATGACGGGGGAGGAAGAGAGAGTGGAGCACATCCTGGCCAACCAGGCCTCAAGGACAATGTTTCTGATTAGATCAGCCAGTCCACAGAGAGGACCACAAGGCCGGATCCACTATGAGACACAACATCCCTCACTGACCCATATCCCTACAGGGGACAACACTGGAGACACAGTGTGGGAATTGCGCCTGATCTGATCCTGTCACACCAAGGCAAAACACTAAGGGGGTGCAACAGATCATCAAGGGAATGGAGCAGCAAAGTCCCAGGGAATTCCAAAGGTGGACTTTGGGACCAGGGCTTGGGGCCCCCAAAGACTGGACGGGAAAACACTCCTAAAGGCCAACAAACAGTCCTTGAACTAACTACAAGCTTTTCTTTCTTGTGTCTGTTTTGTTTTTTGTCATTGGTTTGTTGTTGTTTTGTTGTATATTATTGCTTGGTCTTGCTCTGTCCTGTTTTTGTGCATGTTCTTATGTCTGCAGGTATGTCTAAATAAGATAGGCTGGATGAACAATCTGGAGGAGAAAACAACGGGGAC